GGGGGGGGGGGGGAGGGGGGGGGGTTGGAACTCGTTGTCGGCATGACTTTGAGAAGTCATGCCTGACCAACAGGATTCGGATCGGGGTTGCCACTTTGCAGAAAATAACCAGGCCGGTCCCCCGAAAATATAATGTGCCTCCGCACGAAATACAAACGCTGACAAGATGTTTTTTTCCTTCGTTCTAGCTTTGTGTTTTTTTTCGAATCTGTTCTTTTTTCTCGCTCCTGCTCTGATGCTGTCTCCCGCGATCCATCGGTTTTTTGGTTCTTCGGCTTCTGTATCCCATTTTTGGATTCGAGGAAGCCTCCGGGAGTCCGCGTTCAAGCAACAGCTGTTCGACCGTAGGCAAGTACTTCTTGCCTCGGCCGCTGGATTCGTAATGTGGACGTAGTTGCGTTGCCCTTAAGCACCGTTCAAGTACCTATTACGTGACGCACTGTTTTGGCCCCCCTCCCCTCTTGTAACGCACCTGTAACACAGCCTTACACTCCCCTTTATAATTCTGAACGCTGGCCCGAGCCTCCCCCCCCCCTTATTTTTAAAAAATCAAGAAAATGCTGAGAAATCAGCTTGAAAAAATCGGGGTTTTTCTTGGAGATATTCCGCTAAACGACGACGTGAAAAGAGAGGGTTCTTCGAGAGAGAATGGCGGATTTTGAAGTTTTTCTACGTTTTTTACAACCCCCCCCCCTTCGGCGGCTCGGATTTGTTACGTAACGCTGGACTTGACCCCCCTCTTCCCTTGTAACGCACTGTTGCGCTGGCTCAACCCCCCTTCCTGAGTGCGTCACGTGATCTTGAGCGGCCCCTCAACACTTACAAATAGTTCCCAATCTACGTTCAAAATGGAAGCTTAATCGGGCAATTATTTTTCAAGATTTGCATGATGGGTCTAATTTCGATGAATCATATTATTTTGAGCTTCTAAACAGCCAATAAATACTAGGGAATACACCACGGTTTACCGCTCGTACCGGCGTTCATTCTCTCGGAGACTTGGCGAACAACTCCAAAAGCCAAACGCGGTTCTAAGGATGAGCTTTTGTTCCGTTGAGCTATGGAGGAAGGATTTTCGAAACGCCAACTTTCTTCTAAGCGGTATCCGACTTTTTTTTTTTTATTTCTCCATTTATGAGCCTATTTATAAAAATATTTCAATGTTTATTTCTGGAGAGGTGTCACTATACCAGAGGTTCGTGATGGAAAATCTACTAATCTCCAATCCTGATCCCCTAAATTTTAAAATCCTTTCCCCCTAAACAAAATCCTGAATTCTTTATTTACGCTCTTGTCTCCCAATATGAAAACTAGGTGAGCACTGCCGTTTTGCCTCCTAGAGTATATACTATTTTCGGTACAAATTTGATTTTTATTCATTTAAAAAAGGGCCTGCATGAATATGACTTCGTACTTCGTAAAGCTGTGAAACCATCTCATTCTGGCTGTACGTAAATAAATACACTTGCGTATCGTGAAGGCAAAAACTGAGGATATGTAAGTGAGTAAATAAGTAAATGAAAAAAAAAAAAAAAAAAAAAAAAAAAAAACCTAACACACGTCGCTCCAGACATTGCATGGGTCCAAGCTGCGTTGGAAAAAAAGTGAGGAGCAGGTGCTTCTGTTTTTCATTAGTTCTGCCTCCTGAGGGCCCGCTCTGATTTTATTGCCCTAATTCATCCTCCGTAAGCTCCAATACACTGCAGGTATGATTCGCAGCCATTGTTGCGAATTTTATCTCCTCCGCTCCGAACCAGGGATGCGGAAACCCCCAAAATTTTTGGCAACCGTAACCTGCCGATCGAAAAATTATATGCCCCTCTTCTTCTCTCCTTAGAGCTTCTCCAGTATCTTCATCTCTCTCCTTCCTTCACAGCTGAGTAGTCGCGCATGTCATGTCCCACCGCCAAAGGAAGAGAAAAAGACTGAGCACCAAAAGGAGAAAAAAACCCAAACCGAGATAACAGAGAAAGAGTATGGACGAGCCTCGAAGGAGCGACAGAGCGAGGAAGCGTAAAAAAGAAAGAAAAAGAAGGCCCTTTTTTTCTTTGGGCTCATAGCTTGTATTGTCGGCACTGTTTATAACTCCTCTATGAAGAAATGTAAGGCTGCGAAGAGAATGGGTCTTTGGAGAAGCGGCAAGGAGGGGAATTAGTGATGGTATGGCTCCTAACACATCTGCCAGACTGCTCCGTGTTTTACGAATTTCCCGAGGGACTGTGGCATGGTCTTTGAATCAACTCAATTTTTGGCATTGCCTGACGCGTTCCCGAGGTTCAGCCACTCCAAAAAATCCTGTTTTTAGATCGGTCAATTGTCCGTAAGCAGACTTCAGTAGGAAAAAATCAAAAAATATTTAATTGAATCCGAAAAAAGGGAGCTCGAGATTTAATCCGCAATACACGATGCTCACATTTTTTTTAAAAAAAATTTCTACGAAATTATAAAACGAATTTTTTTACGAAATAAAAAAAAATTACGAAATAAAAAAAAAAAATTCTACGGAAATCTACGATTAGTAGAGTTTAAAGCTCCCTCAAAATGTTGACTTGCCCCTAACGGCGCGGAAACTGAAAGTGAAAAATTTTTCCGTCGAGATTTTGAAAATCGTCTCCCTCGCTAAAATTCGATTTAATCTTGAAACTTAGCAAAATCCGTCGCTTTATTTTTTATTTGACGCAACGTAACGTTAACGTAAGAAGAGTCGGACTGCATTAAGTAGAAAGAAACCAAGACGCAGCAGCTATTGCCAAATTAAATCGAGCAATTTAATTTTTTACATGAAAACGGTTGTGCGGATTTTGGTACAGATCCGAGTGAATTTTCTACATAGCAAGAAGCGAGTTCCTTAAAATTTTCAATGGAATCCGCACAAAGGTTCTCTTGAAAAAATTAAATTGCCGGGATACATTTTTGATAGCTGATATGGCTTGGTTCCATTTCTTCTACATTGCCGTGCTAAGGAAGAAAGCCGTATGAGCCCTCAGACGTTGCCCTATCGACCCTTTCCGTCGTTTCCCTTTGACAAATCGGGGTTTTTCGTGAAAATGCGTGAATATTTTTCTTCCGATTTTTCAGAGTATTTTGTTCATAAGTTGACCTAAAATTTCTGAAAATTTCGAGGAAAAAGATTCATAACTTCCTTCAAAAATAAATATTTTCTGAGAGGAAATTTGGCAACATCCGAAGGCTCATACGGCGTTTTTCCTGAGCACGGCAGTATACGTGGTCCAATTTAAAAAAAAAAAAAATGACCGAAAATTATGTCGTTTTTCGGTGAGTTCGGCAATGTCGGCCCGGAGTTCCTTCGTGGCAAGTCTCCAATCGGCTCCAATAGTACCTCTGACTGTGCCTGTGTTTCCGAAAGCCGACAGACTCTAGATAATAGCCTCTCCTCTCCGTGGTGGGAGAAGGAGACCCCTCTGGCGCTCGGTCCGTCTCTCTCTGCCGCGTTTCGTCATCGTCAGTTCGCTGAGAAATACGCTTGCGGCCGGTCGCGCAACGCTCCCGCACTGAGTGTTCTCTCGATAAGGTTGTTGTGAGATCGCGTGAAGTGTTTCCATGAAAACGTGTGCTTGTGTTATTATTACCTAACAACGAATTCGTTTGTGTTGCTGTGAATATTTCGGATTTACCCACAACCTTTTGTGTTCCGTCGAGACATCAACTTCGTTCAAGTTTGCTCGTTTCAAAGAAGTTTATAACTGTCCGAGAGATAGTTTGCTTCGCGGGAAGTTTGTGTTAGTTCTTTCCACCCTACTGCATTGTTTAGAGTCTCCACATCAGCCCCTTTTCGTTTCGTGGCTTTATAGCTCTAAATTTAATCCCCTTGGTGTGCTCTCGCGTTGTGTTATCATGAGTGTGGTGCCATGTGAGAAACCGTTATCCCGCCTGGATTACTAAATGTGTTTCGCGAGTTTCAAGGGAGGCCAGCTTGTTTTCAATACTCAAATGAATGAGATGCATATGGCAAATCATTTAGTCCGCTGGTGGAAAACTAAGGTTATCAATGGATACAAACATTTTACAGGTAATTCATGTTCCTATCTTATAGCGCTTGCCCTTTCCGGAACGTCATTTTGATTCTTAGCCGTTACGGAAAGGTCATAATAGTAATTATCTCTAGGCTTTATCACTATCGTTTTATAATTCCAGCGTTCAAAAAATCAAGCAGAGAAGTAATGACTAGTCCATCGTGTTTTTCTAATCGAATAACATTGGTTTTAGATATCATAGACATCTCAGATTCACGTTGCTCCCTCTTTAGAACCATTCTATAATGTTCTCCCTATCGGTATCCATAACCTTCAAAATGTAGGTAAGCCAACATATTCCTTCCCCGTTAAGCAACATGCCATTTTTTAGGGGCTCAAAATTCCTCTTCTAGATGCCTTACTTTGGCGGGCCGAAATCGTTTTATCCATTTGAAGTGTCTGTAAACTACCTCATTGCTGTTTCTTTGCTAGAAGTAGTCTGGCGGGAGATGCGTGTCTATGACGTGGGAACTCAATTTTGAATTCATGTAAACAGCTGCTTCTCTTAGTTTACTTCAAAAGACGTTGCACGGTCTTGTTATTTTCGCGGGATTACGAAACGTAATCTCTCTCTCGGAGCTTTTGGCAAGGAGCCACCTGTTGAATGCCGCCAGCTCGCCGCGTGTCGGCGGAGCTTTTGAACCTCGTCGAAAGCTCGATGCGACCTCCTCCCTAATCGAATCACTGCCCGGCTCCTCAATCAAATTTCTCGCCAATCTCGTTCAGTATCGGCGCCGCGCTCTCCTCTCTTTCGTAATAAACTCCTTCCACTCTTATCAATATTCAATTTTGGCGCCGGTAGTTTTTCCCTGCTCACGCTCAGCCCGATCTCGTCTCCCGCCCCCAATGGTCAATTCGTGGGGCTAACTCAAAAGCGGCGAAAAAGCGCCACCTATCCCTAAATCATTTCGACTAAAATGGTTGTAATAGAGAAATAAACCAGATTATGCATGGCTGGAACCATAACTCCAGGCAATGATATGCGAAGGACAATCTACTTTCGATTCTCTTTAATTCTGGTAGTACCAAATCTGCCCTAAAAATGAAGATGGCGGCCAGCTGAACTCCCGAAAATTCCCATTTTTAATGGACCGTTGCAGTTGTGAAGCGGCGAGAGTGAGGCTTGGAGGTCGTGTTGCGCGAACGATCTGGAACTGACCGGCGGTTACGGACCATTACGGACCCGCTTTGAAGTAACAGTCGTGCTGAACAAACATTTCAAGAAGTAAACTCACGCTTCCGAGAGCGACGCGGTTCTCAAGTCCGGTTTTTCATCCGTAGCGGACGCCGGACGCGTCGAGTTTTTGGATTACGACGAACTCTTAACTAACGAAGGTCGTTGCAATTAGACCGTTAGTTTCTTTAATTTTTGCAGTTTGATTCGGTGAATAAATCGATTTCTGGATAGTATCGATGAACATGGGTCGGCCACCGGAAAAGTGACCCCCTACTGCTAAAAGAATCTCTCAGGGTTGCCACGACCAGGAAATTTTAAAACGTCAGGGAAAGAATTGTTCCTTAACTCACCTTTCTTTGCTTTCCAGAATGGGTTTCATAATTCCAGCAACAGATTTTGCATCAAAACTACTTCAAATTAAAAAGCGTAGAGCGTAAGAGTATCCCTCGTGGGTTATTTGAAGTAAAATTCTACCGCGGGCGGGAAAAGTCATCTGCCCTGAAACCACAGGCAACATATTGGTACATCTAATCTGCGGTGCTAAAGAAGAACGCCGTATCAACATTCGAGAGTTGCCAAATTTCCTTCGATAAAATGTTTGTTTTGGAGGAAAATAATGAATGTTTTTCCTCGAAATTTTCAGGAACTTCTGGTGAAATTGCGAACGAAGTTACCTGGCAAATCAGAAGAAAGATATTCATAAGTTTACCAGGAAATTCGTATCGTATCTTATCGAATCGAAGGAAATTTGGCAACGCCTGAAGGTTGATACGGCGTTTTTCCTTAACACGGCAGTAATCAGAAATCCCAATCCGCTGCTCACACCCCTTGAATGTGGGGCGGAGCCGAAATATGCGAGACGGAATTCCTGAGTGGTTGCGTGGAGCATCCCCGCGGAGCTGGCATTTTCCTCGGCGGCCGGACCGGGTTTTCGGAGCGGGAAAGGGCATCTGCCCCCGGTGCCCCCCTTCGGTGCGGCCGGCGCGGCGGTTCATTGAAAGATGGTCTTTGGAGCGGCATCGGTAGACGGGCACACGGCGGCGGCGCGGACGCGGAGATGGGATCTGACCATAAGAGCGAGAATCGGCTCGCATTTCTCGGAATGATGGACGCCGATCCGAGCTGGACCGCTGCGCTGGAGCCTGCCGACGCTAACACCGTGTTGTCGGATTCATCCTGCAAGAGCGCTTAAGATAAATGATACTGGAAAAAAAAACACATTGGATCTAGAGTCCAGACTCTTGAAAACATCGACAAGAAAAAATACTCTTGATTCAATCAGATTTAAGCTTAAATCAAAAGGAAATCCGCTCAAATTAAGAGGATTGGTTCTTGATTTAAGCAAAAATCCGATTGAATCAAGAGTATTTTTTCTTGTCGATGTTGTTAAGAGTCTTGACTCAAGATCCAATGTGTTTTTTTTTTTTTTGCCAGTGAGGAGTCTTTAAGGTGGAGGCCTGTACTGAATTTCAGCATTGAAAAATAAAAGGTTTAGCAGGGTGTCTATACAAGTCCGGAAATAGTACGGATTTTTCAAGGGCGGTCAGGAAATACTGAAAAACTGCGGAAATTCTGCACGAGGGTCCGGAATTTTTTGTCAATTTTATCGCTAATTGAGCGAGGAATTCTAATTTTTGAAATTTTTCGAATTTCGTCACTTAGAGGTACTGAAAAAACACTGAATTTTTCTGTTGAGGAGGTGCTCACTGAATTTCTTCACTGGGAAAAAAAAAAAAACACATTGGATCTAGAGTCCAGACTCTTGAAAACATTGACAAGAAAAAGTACTCTTGATTCAATCGAATTTTTGCTTGAATCAAAACGAAATCCGCTTAAATTAAGAGGCTTGGTTCTTGATTTAAGCTAGATTCTGATTGAATTAAGAGTACTTTTTCTTGTCGATGTTTTAACAGTCTGGACTCTAGATCCAATGTGTTTTTTTCCAGTGTTTGGCATGCACTGAAAAAGTACTGTTAAATTACTGATTTTTAGCCAGCCTTTTTTAGTAGATACCCTGTTTAGACACACACAGTTTAGGTATATAAACATACCGTCCGTTCCGGGCTCAGAAACCGAAACTTCCGGGTGCTACGCTCGGAAACATCGACCTTTGGGCCCGGAACGCGGACGGCCGGACGGTATGTATATTTAGCCCATAATTTCGGCTTCCACGCCCGGAGTTTTTTTCAGTCAGATGACCACAGTGAAAAGAAGGAAAATTTGGAAAAAAAGGAAACCGATGGCATTTATGAATCGGTGAGAATGAAAACACACCAACTCGATTGCTTGAAAATGCTCGATTGCCATTGAAGATGAGCAATTTTTATGAGAGTCATTGAAGTTAGCATATCTGTTCCAACTTCGACTTATAAAGTGTCCCTAAGTACTTGTTTTTCGGCACCGAAAATATTTTTCTCAGATTAACTTCTCCACCTCCTCTGCAATTTTGTGCGTGTCTTGATCACTTCAATTTTTTCTAGTTGGTGTGTTTTCGTTCTCACTGATTCATATGTTGTTTCTAAATTGAGCCAGAAATAGTGGTTCCCTATCGCAAAATGCGGTCCAAGTAGCCCGCATGGTGTGATAGAAAACATGCGAAATGTCGCATTTTTTCTCCTGAAGCGGGGCAACGCAGGAAGAATCTCTGCTCGGAGCGGCTTTGGCGGCTGAATGACTGGAAATGTGGTTACCGTAACAAAGAGAGGAGCACGGAGTGTAATTTCGTGTCAGTTGATCACCTTGAGATGGGACTTGAGTGCTCCTGCTCTCAGCTCGCGGGTCGACCGCGCCCACCGTTGTCAACCCTGTCGATAATTCCCTATTCTTACACATACTCAAAAATGGAAATTTCGGGTTGTCGATCCGGCAACGCTGGCAAGCCTCACATTATTGCCATTCATTCCTCTCTCTGGAGCCGCCGACCGGCGCGGCGCGTCTCGTGACTCGCGCACCGCCGCGTCGATGAAAAACCGCGCATCTTCGATTGAAAATGGTGGTTTATAGGCGGTTCCCTTTCGGCTCGGCGAAAAAATTTCGCGTCGGCCAAAACGTGAGCCCCTCGAGGGAAAAAGTTAAGTGGCGAGCTCGGGACTTGCAGTTTATCGGTCGCCGAGAGGTGAGAAGACGGGCCGATTTTTCGACGCTAGCATTTTATTTGAGTCGGTTTTTCAAGGGCCCTTTTCCGACATTCACAGGCGTTTCGTACGTGCATCGTTTGCTCATAGTGGAGTGGGTGAAGGGTGTGAAAAAATCCTCGAAAAATAAACCGCATTTTGAAATGAGGAACCAGTATTGTCTCGCTCATCGACAAAATCTCCTACTTGCATCGGGGAACTTTGAATGGAAACATGCATGAAGATGAAGTCTAGCTACGCAAATCCGCAGAAATTGGACTTTTTTAAAACATGACTACGTTCCCTGCAGTTCATTGGTATTCGTGCATTCTTTGCCGAAACGATGAAGAGGCTTCGCGAGGACTAGGGCGGCAATCGTGAGGGATTTTTGGAGAAGTTCAGGAAAAGTCGAAAAATTTGTCCTAAACGTCGCTCCTCTCACGTAAAGCCGCATCTTAATTTCTACCTGGGCAATGCTGTCCATATAACCCCTTGCTTTCTGGGGGTAACTTCGAAATTGAGGCACGGTCTTACGTCAGAGGAGCGACGTTAATTGGTCGGAGGAAACTTCGGAGAAAAGTCGCGGAATTTTTGAAGTTTCCAATCAACCTGAAAGCTGCTTTAAATTATACTTACGTATTACACTATTTATAATTAGTTGCAAACTGCGCGAGCGAATCGGTACATTTCTTAAGAACAAGAATCT